AGCTCCGCCCCCGTTATCTGCACCAGCTCGGCATCGGCTACATCTGCCCAGGCCGCGTAGCCTGGGGAACAATGGCTGACAACAGCGGCTGCATCGCCAGCGGCGACGGCATCTAAACCAGCCTGGGCACGAGTGATAGCATGAGTCCAGAGGGGGGGCTCAAGCCTCGGGCCAAAAACAAGCCCCCTCGGATGGGGGGGGGGCTTTCTGAAACATAAAGCCTTCAACGGCGCAGGAGACTTGTGGATGGCTAAGATGAGGGCTCAAAATCGCGCGAACCGCTGCGGAATGCCTTACCGGGCCCCCCACTGCACACAAAGAAATCAAGGGCGGACGGGGCCACCCGTTCCAAAGTGGGCGCGGCCGGGGGCGCGAATCAGCTGGCCCTGGAGCTCCGACGCAAACTTAGTAGAGCAAAGCGTGTCTGGGTACAAGTTCCAATCTCATCCTATGACAAACGAAGCGGAAGCGGCCTGCGCGCGCGCCTGCCTGACAGAGAAGGCCCATGTTGCGATATGACGTGCCTTCGCTGTCATACAAGTAAACAGAGAAAGCGTCGAAGGTGAAACCTCCTGGGATCTGCGCGTTAGCTTGAGAGAGATGACCCCTGGCGACGCAGTACCCCTCCGAAGGGGGAAACAAACCGAGAATGGATTTAGCGAGCACCGCAGCACTTCCAGAAGTACCTCCATGTCGAAACAGCTGGGGTCCACGAGCTCTTCCAGCCATCGCGAGCGCACCTCTGAGAAGCAACATGTATTCCTCCACTAGAGGCGAGCCTATGCTCCTGAACAAGGAGAACCGCAGCAGGCGCGTCAGGAAGCACATTCTTGAGAGTGCCCCAGCTGTTGCAGTTGAGACTGCGAACAACTAACTCGATCGAGCTGAGCCCGTCGGACACCGTGGAAACGCACGCGGGACCCGGGGTCGCAGGCGAGGAAAAGGGGGCAGTGGAAATCCTAGGACCAGGCACCACGACCACAGGAGAGTCGAACCCAGGAGAGGCCAGGACAGGATAGGCCTTCAGAGGGCCAGCAAAATTGGCAGGCTTCGTAGCGGAAGCCTGCCGCGAGCCAAGACCTGGGCAACCTTCCGACAAAACTCGTTGCGACCTCCACAAAGTGCCACGCGCCGCATTCCTAAGGCCCCCTCGGCCTTGGTAGCGGACATCACGAGCACAGAGGGGACGACGGAAGAAGGGCCGACAGGCCATGGGACATGTGTGAAACGCGTGATTAGTGCCGTCCCCCTGCATCAAGGCGATGGCCTAAGCAGGGGGGAGTTCACCTTCTGAATCTGCTGTGGCTGCGAGCGCAGCATCGGCACGAGTTTTGGGTTCCACAGTGGAAAGCTCACGCACAGGCTCTGACGGCTGGCTCTGGGCCTCAGGTGCCCTCGCTGGTGATGCAGTTCCACCTGCCGAAACTGCTCCACCGCTAGGCTAGGCGCCGCCGGTGCTGCTGCTGCAGCTGCTGCAGCACCGTCGCCAGCGCCAGTTGCGCCGCAGGCCTCTCCTGCAGGTGCTGCTGGTTGAGCTGCTGCAGGAACGTCGCCCTGGCGACGTCTCTTGGCCGCGAGGCGCCGCAGATGTTATTCATGATCTTCACGTGCTTTCTTGGCTTGGTCGCTGGCCTGCTTGAACAGCGCAGTGCAAAGGTGCTTGGCTCCGTCGGCCAGCTGGTTGGAGCAACGGTCGAGCTCCTCACGATCTTGCGGCGGGACTTCGTACTCCGTGTCGTCAACGCTGAGGAAGCCCACGTCAATAGTGAGCACGTCGTCGACCTCCCCGCCCAAGATGTCCTTGACGGAGAGCACTGCACACCCAGAAGAGCGCGCACGAGCAAGCGTACCAATGATAGATTTATGAATGTCTTCGACCATCCGAAGCTCCTTTCGCAAGGAGGCAACCTCTTCGTGTTGACGACGGGGAGCATTTTCCTGTTTCTCGTACTTAGTGAGGGCAGCTTGAAGCAACTTTTCCGTCTATCTGAGCTTGCTGTGCGCAGAGTTGACCTGGAACGGCAGGGGCTGTGTGGGGGAAGGCAAGCGCCGATCCTGTGCCACGGCCCGATACCCAGCACCTCCTTCGGCATCCCCTTCTTTCCCGAGGAGCACAGCAAGTTGATCAACTTCCTCAGGCGACAACCCGTCCAAAGCAAGAGAAGACTTGCCCTTGGCGGGCGTATCATCCTTAGTGGGAGGATATGTCCAGTCACATGTCGGTGGCCATGGCGACTTACAGTGCTTGCACCATGTCCACGTCGCCAAGTTCTTCTTACACCCGCACTGGCAGCAAACCCATCGTCCCTAGACCAAATGTTGCTGGCCACCGCCTCCTTTACCAGAACCCTTTCCTGCTCCACCTGCGGGTTGAAGTCCAGGTTGAAGGGGAGGCACAGACTTGGGGCGACGGGAGCGATTCCAGCGGTTGACAAGCCCGTCAGAAGGAGCACCACCGCGGCCAGTCATGGCGGCACCTGAGGACGGGGAGTGGTTCCGTGCCTGGGGGGAATGGCTCGCTATCGCACGGCCTTTCCGAACAATTCGAGATAGCAAAGGCCTGGGCCTCGGAAAGGCTCTCTTGATTCAAAATGGCTTGAGCCAGAATGGCTTGAGCCAAATGGCTACGGACGGAGGAGAAGTTAAAGGAGCCTCAGGAGGAGGAGGAGGGGGAGGAGGAGGAGAAGGAGGAGGAGGAGGATTTAAAGTAGCCTCAGGAGGAGGAGGAGAAGGAGGAGAAGGAGGAGGATGAGGAGTTCAAGTAGCCTCAGGAGGAGGAGGATGAGCAGGAGGAGGAGGAGTCAAAGTAGCCTCAGGAGGAGAAGGAGGTGGAGGTGGAGGAGGAGGAAGAGTTAAAGTAGCCTCAGGAGGAGGAGGAGGAGGAGTTAAAGTAGCCAGGAGGAGGAGGAGGAGGAGGAGGAGGAGGAGGAGAAGTGGAAGTAGCCTAAGGAGGAGGAGGGAGGAGGAGGAGGAGGAGGAGGAGGAGGAGGAGGAGGAGGTAAAGGAGCCTCAGGAGGAGGACGAGGAGGAGGAGGAGGAGGAGGAGGAGTGAAAGTAGCCTAAGGAGGAGGAGGAGGAGGAGGAGGAGGAGGAGGAGGAGGAGGAGGAGGAGGAGTTAAAGGAGCCTCAGGAGGAGGACGATGAGGAGGAGGAGGAGAAGGAGGAGGAGGAGGAGGAGGAGTTAAAGTAGCCTCAGGAGGAGGTGGAGCGTGGCCTGGAGGCGCAACAAGTTCACCGCCAGTGCGCCTCAGAGCTTACCGCCAAACCCAAAATCATACAGGGGGCCCCAGCAGCGGAAGGCGAATCGCTACCCTAACAGCTTCAGCGAGCCGTGGCACGTCCTGAGCAGCCAGCCCGGTGCAGCGACGGGCGGAAAATAGCCGAAAGGCATAAAAGTAATAAAAGTAACATACGATGAACGCAAAATTGGAATCATCCCGACCAGCATCACGAAACAATCCAAGCGTGACCCTGGGATCCCGGGGGACCTCACGAGAGAGAACAACCGAGACAGGGTCGAAAGCTTCGGGCACTCCAGGACACGGTAGCCTCAGGAGGAGGAGGAGGGGGAGGATGCGGAGGAGGAGAAGGAGGAGGAGGAAGAGGAGGAGGAGGAGGAGGAGGAGGAAGAGTTAAAGTAGCCTAAGGAGGAGGAGGAGGAGGAGGAGGAGGAGGAGGAGGAGGAGAAGTGAAAGTAGCCTCAGGAGGAGGAGGAGGAGGAGGAGGAGGAGGAGAAGTTAAAGTAGCCTAAGGAGGAGGGCTAGGAGGAGGAAGAGGTGGAGGAGGAGGAAGAGTTAAAGTAGCCTCAGGAGGAGGAGGAGGAGGAGGAGGAGGAGGAGGAGTTAAAGTAGCCCAAGGAGGAGGGCGAAGAGGCGGAGGAGGAGGCGGAGGAGGAGGGAGGAGGAGGAGTCCTCCCGCCAGCGCCCGAAGCGGCGCACCGCCCCTCCATTGCGAACGCCCCGCGTCGCGGTCTGGGCACCAGGGCGTGCCCCCCGCGGGCACACAGCCGCCCCGCGGCGGGGGCAGCCGCGCAGGCCCGCGCCGCATCGGTGAGGGTCGCGGCCGAGGAGTCCAGGCCGCAAGGGTTCGCTGATGTCGGCGGTGGACAAACCTTCCTTTCGTAAACCACCCTTTAGTGAAAACGGCCTAGGACCGAAACCGACGGACCCGGACCCGCAAAGGTGGCGGCCGCGACGCCCTCTCGCGAACCGAAAACGGCCAATTCGCTAATCGACGAGTCAGGGTAGGAGGTCTATCAACCTCCGATGATGTGGACATACCGTCGGGCTGCTGGAGTCAGGAACGCCAAACAAGGAACCGATCCCCTTCTTTAGAGAGCAGAAATTCCACCCTCATAACACATCACCCCGACACGCGAAGCCGTTCAGTGAACGCACCCAAAGAAGGAATCGAACAGGGCAGGCCGCTTATCAAACGCCAACTCTCTGGTCTGCGTGGTCTTTCCTCCCTTGACTCTTGGCACCAGAAGAGCCTGGGTGCACAAGGAGGGGCTGGGGGAACAGCCGCGGCACGGCCTCAGGGACAGCGAGCCCCTCCCGAACCCAGAGCGGCCCTTCTTTCAGCGCCTCGGCCGTAGTGTTCCGCCCGCGGCGATGGGGGGAGGGGAGAGGGGAGGGAGGATCCGGGAGGACCAGAGGAGGATCGGAGGAGGATCGAGGAGGACCGGGGATCCAGGAGGATCGGGGAGGATAGACCAGGCTTGGGGAGAATTGAACAGGGTCCGAGGGGATTGGGGTTGGGGGGATGGAGATGAAACGAGGATCCAGAAGGATCGTTGAGGATCCACGAGGGTCGAGCAGGATCGAGCAGGGTCGGTGAGGATCGAGCAGGGTCGGGGAGGATCGGGTTAGGGGACCGGAAGAGGACCAGAGGAGAGGACCAGAGGAGAGGACCGAGGACCCCCACGATGGCGCATGGAAAAGCATGAAAAAGCAGGGCTGCGCAAGCAGCCGCCAGCCGCAGGCGCCCTTGGGCCACTGCCTGCTCCGCCTGCACCGTCGCGTCGGCGGACCTCCAGACACCCAGGACGACCTCTGCGCCCACCTGAGTTGTGGATGCCATGACAATGGACACCCTGACATGCTTAAGACATGTTTAGCACATGTTTAAGACATCTGGAAATCATTTGGCAGCACGCTTCCTCTCCATTGATCGTCGTCCACAACATATGAGGGACCGGCTGCAACGGGAGAGGGCAAGGAGGGAGGGTTGGGCGCGGGAGGCTTTGAGGGGGGGATAGACAGGACAAACGGGACTCACTGGTCCGACCGCCGGACCTAGGACAGAAGAACACCCTCGAAGAACGTCAGACCCTCCGCATGCCAGACCGAAGATCAATCGAGGGCACCCTCCCAGGATGCACAAAAACATCCAACAAGCACGAAGAGCATTCGGGCATGGACAGAACCTCCTTTTAGCAAAACGTGGTTTATTGAAAACGACCTCGGGCCCAAACCTGGCGGACGCAAGCCTGGAAAATGACGGCCGCGGCGCCCTCTCGAGAACCGAAAAACTGACAATCCCACCAGCCTTCTGGGCGTAGGTGGTTTAGGGAGGTTCCTTGGGGAAGGGCTTACCCCTCCCCGCACCCCCTCCCCTGGACCTCGACGGGGGTTCCGCGACGCGTTGGAGCGTCCAAAACGGCTTCGGCGAGGAAGCCAACATCATTGGTTTTAGTATGGTTTTGGCCCCATGTTGGCCTCCTGAAAAAGGGGGGGGGGGGGGGGCTATTTAGACCCCCCCCTTCTCCTGTGATGGATCTCCTCCAAACTGGCCCCAAGAGGCGCCCCGAAGGCCCCAAGAGGGCCCGAGATGGCCCCAGGATGGCCCCACCTGGCCCCCAAAAGCCCCCAAGAGGCTCCCAAGAGACCCCCAAGAGGCGCCAAGAGGCCCCCTTTTGAGGCACTCGAAACGCTCCAAGGGGCTTCGGCGAGACTGCCAACATCACTGATGTTACTGAGGTTTTGGCCACATTCGGGCCTCCTGGGGGGGGGAGCGCTGCTTCAGATGACTCCAGGAGCGCCCGGGGGAACCCAAGATGACCTCCAAGATGGCTCCAAATATCCCAAGATGCCTCAAGATGGCTCCCACGATGCTCCAAGAGACCCCAAGACCGCTTCAAGGCGGCTCCAAGTGGCCAAAGAGCTCCCCCAGGAGGCCCCGAAAGGGCCAATGTTTTGGGCTTTCTCGCCTTTTCGCTTTCGACGGCCATCCGAAGCTTCAAGATGACTCCAAGATGGCCCAAGAGGGCTCCAAGAGCGTTGCCAAGGCACCCGAGAGCGCTTCAAGAAGGCCCAAGAGGCGCCCAGGAGGCCCCAACAGGCGCCCCAGATGCCTCCAAGAAGCCCCCAAGAGGGCCCTAGAAGCTCTCCGAACCACCACGACGCTCTAAGGGGCGTCCGGAACCGCCAAGAAGGCCCCCAAGACGCTCCAAGAGGCCTGCACTCGGGGGCCCTTCCTCTGCGTGCTGCCCACTTCCCTGATCGAGGCACTTCCTCTGGGCATCGTTTCTGGATGGGCGGGTGGGGTTACTTTCTTTGATTGCGAGTGACGCGGAAAGAGCCGCGCACCGTCGGGTAATGTCGAACAAAAGCAACGCCGCGCGAGTGCACAGCGACGGGCCACTACGCGGACAGCGCAAGTGGGACGAGACAGGACGAACGAAAGAGGGAGGAACAAAGCAGGAGCGAGGAAGAGCACAAGCGGAGAGGAGGGGAAACGAGGCGAAACGGAAGAGAGGGCAAGCTAAGCCGCGGCTCGCACTCACACCAGGTGGGAGACGAACGCCCCTTGCCGAACAGCTGGAACTTGAAGTAAGGCTGACCCAAGCTAGTACGCTGCGGGCGGCTTTACCGTCACAGAAGAGCCGCAAGTATGGGGGGGCGAGTGCGCGCATAGCACGCAACACCATGCGCCAGGTCAACTCCAGGACCGCGTCTTCCGCCGAAGGTCGCTGCCACAGCGAGCCACGAAGGGAGCAAGCCACGAGCCCAGCCAGGCTAGTGTACGGCGCCGTTTCGAATCCTCCGCCGATGGAGTACACCGGTGGCGACGGTGGCGTACGAAGCCAGCTGGGAGGGATGGCCAGCCTGGGCCTGCCACGTACGCGACTCAGGGCGGGGGGGTGCGCCGCCTGAGACCAGAAGCTCGATGGGGACCAGCACGGGTACGCCAGGCGTGCAGCCTCTGTGCGAAGGGGGGGTGACATCGCCTGAGACCTGCAGCCCACTGGACCAAGTTGGTGACTGGCCTGGGAGCGGCAGCGGGGGGGTATCCAAATGCCGCTCTGTGCCGGGAGCAAAATGGGGGAACGCGTTTGCACCGCATGAGAACGCCGTGTGTTCTGGCAGGGTGCAGCTAACAGCCGCAGAAATGTGGGAAAGAGGCTGTCGTTAGAGACAGACTGGGGGAAGGCACGGAGAGGCAGGCACGGGGCACGCTGGTTGCTGTCCACGACCGGGAGCAGGGGGAGTGGGGACCACCCCTCCGTATTACCAGGCCGATCGATCTTGACTACCTCTCTCCATGGGGTACGCCTGCCGCCGTAGTCCACTCGCAGGCCTGCGAAATGCGAGGCAATGTCCACTGTGAACCATCTTACCTGATAGTATAGCCTTCCACGGAAACATGCTCGCAGATGTGACCATATCTGGAACTTCAATGCCAGTGCACCCACTCTGTTGTATAGCAGCGACGGTGTGTGTCCTAGAGGAACTATATCCTCCGACGTGAGAAAGAGCTTCTGACGCTCTGCAACCACCTGCTTAGCTTTCTTGATCACTATCGGACCCTGCACGCTCATCTTATACCGCGTGCGCGCTAAGATGTGGAAAGAAGCACGAATGTTTGAGCACAAATGCTAACCGGGTGTAATGGCAAGCGCCGCAGGATGCGGGGTATGAACGATAGCTTCGCCAGCATGGTGGCTCTGCTGTGCTGGGTTGCAGCTATCAGCAGCAAGACAAGGGGGGTGAACCACCTGAGACGCCCCGCTGCTCGGACGGAGGGCAAAGGCCGCAGTGCGAGGGGGGTCTCTCCGCTTGCAGTGTACCCATCCTGTGGTAGGGGGCAGTTGGCGGGCACGGCAGGCTTGCACAGGTAAGGCACGAAAATGCCCACTGCTCTGGCAGGGTGCATCTAACAGCCGCAGAAAGGGGAACGACGGTTTTCGGCAGCGACAGGTGAAGGGGCCGGCCAGGGAGCCGTGCGCGGGGGGGAAGCCGGACGCAGCCCAGTGTCAATGGCGGGGTGAAAAAGCCCGCGTAAGCCAAGCGGGGGAGTGCCAGGTGCTCTGGTAGGGTGCAGCAAACAGCCGCAGAAAGGTGGGACATATGTTTCTGCCTGAGACATACAGAGAGTAGGGCGGAGAGCGGCACAAGGGGGTAGCGGTATGCCGTCCACGACCAAGGGTGGGGTAGAAGCACCCCGCGCTGCAGGATGGTGGGTATGAACGCTAGCCTCGAAAGGTGGTGACGGCGATTAGCTGGGTTGCAGCTGACAGCAGCAGGAATAGGAAAGATGGTACACCTGAGTCTCCAGTTGCTTGGACGGAGTGCAGATGGCCGCGGCGCGAAGGGGGTAGCTTCGCCAGCGATGTGCGCGTTGTCTGGAAAGGGGACCGACAGCCGCGAAACCTTGCACAGTGGCGAAGTATGAGACAGTCCGGTGTACTGTTGGTCGCCCGCAAAGTTCTGTGGAGCCGCACTCTGCGGGCCATGCTGTGGACCTCGTCCCGTCGAACCAGTCGTAGCCGTGTCGACGCCGCTCAGTGGGGCCGACGAGGAGGGCTCCTAGGCGCGCGTGTGTCGACGACCCTGTCCTACCGTCGACAGATGTTGAGCCAGTAGGAGTCTAAAAGTGGGGCAGCGAGGAGCTGCAAAGTGGAGCCACGATGGCGCTAGCAATACGGAGGGCCACAGAGGGGCCCGGTCCCTGGCCGCCAACGGCGAGCCGGGGAGGCGGCAGCCATCCAAGGGAGATGTGCCGCGAGGGGTGCCCCGGTGAGGGGACCCAGAGCCTGGGACGGGCCATGAGCCCCAGCTGGGCACGTCCGAGGCGGTATCAGCACGTCAGCGGAAAACGTGCGGTGGCAGGCGTGCCCGCCGCAAGGTAGGCGGAGCCCGCCCTGTCATTGCAATGTCGGCCGGCGGCTGGGCCTAGAGGAATACTCCGGCTGGACACCCAATCGGGTCCTCCTGGGAGCCCGCCGTCCTGCTACGTTTGACATCGCGCCCTCCCCGCAGCCCTTTGCCTTTGCCCTTGTTGGGGGTGTCCGTGTTGGTGGCCCTCTCCTGGGCGCGAGCACGCACTATGTTCCACCGACGTGTCAGGGTAGGGGTGCTGTCCACTCAACGACAGATTGAGGGGTTCCGCGAAGCGTCTATAATTCACCAGCGAAACATTAGGGCACCCTCCCCGAATCGACCTCGATCTCATACCTCGGTCCGACCGTACCTCTGCCGTGCAGCAGGGACCTGCCGTGGCCCAAGGGCCTTCACCCCAGAGGTCTTCGCGTGGTCGGGCGCTGGCCCTGCCACCAGACGACTCAAGCTGCCCTGGGCAGTGGCTCGTCGGCCCTTGCACTCGGACGAGGGGACGGCGAGGAAGATGAAAGAGGAGCGGGGAAGAGAGGAGGGAGAAGAGAAGTGGGAAAGGGGAGGAGGGAGGGAAAAGAGGAGCGGGAAAGGGGAGGAGGGATTCATCGGGGCGTGGGTTAGGGTCACAGAGGGAGGAGGGAGAAGGGGAGGCGAGTGGAGAGGCGAGGGGCTGGGACTGGGAGGAGGGAGGAGGGAGGCGGGGCAAGGGAGGGGAGGGAGGGGAGGCGGGATCCCTCTTCGGCGGCTGGTTGTCCTCTGCAGCGTTATAATCATGCAGTCCGAGCGCTTGACATCCGAAGCGCACCTCAAAACTGGCAGGGTCCCCCAGCATGCAGGGCCGCTGGGCTCTCACGTGTCCAGCCATGTCTCGCCGCAGTGGAAAGAAATAGCTGCGCTGACTCATGATGACGGGGCGGGCGGAAGGAGGCCTCATTGCAGTATGAATTGCCTATGATGGGATGACTCTGCTCCTTCTCCTTCTCCTCCTCCTCATCAGCATAATCAGCTTCATCAGCAGCAGCATCGTACTCATCTCAATCATCACATCAGCATCATCATCAGCATCATCAGGCGCATCATCAGCATCATCAGACGCATCATCATCATCATCATCATCATCATCATCATCATCATCATCATCATCATCATCATCATCATCGTCATCATCATCATCATCATCATCATCATCATCATCATCATCAGCATCATCATCATCATCATCATCATCATCATCATCATCATCACCATTATCATCATAATCGTCATCAGCATCGGCATCGTCAGCATCATCATCAGCAGCATCAGCATCGTCATCATCATCATCATCTGTATCATTATCAGCATCATCATCAGCAACATCATCATCAGGAACATCATCATCATCATCAGCATCATCAGGCGCATCACATCAGCATCATCAGGCGCATCATCATCATCATCATCATCATCATCATCATCATCATCATCATCAGTGCCACAACCGCCATCGTCCATCCGCCTCATCCTCCTCCTTCCTCATACCTGCTTCTCGCAGATTCCTGCTTCATACCCCACATCTTAAGTAGCATCGCTCCTCCTCATACATCCCCCTTCCCTCCCTCCCTTGCCCTCCCTCTCACTCACCCTCTCCTTCTGTCTCTCACTCACCCTCTCTCTCTCTCTCTCTATCTCCCTCCTCCTCCTCCTCCTCCTCCTCCTCCCTAGCCTCACTCCACCTGCCTCCCTCCCCTCTGTCGCATCATCCCTCCATCCTCCGTCCCTCCATCCTCGCTCTCCCTCCTCTTTCCACCCCTTCCACCTCCCTCATCACGCATCCATGCCACTCCATCCTCCTTCATACACTCCTACCCCGTCCTGCCCCTGAAGAAACCTCCGAAACCACCAAATCATCGGTAAACTGCAGAGAGACTTCCGCAAAGCTTCCGAACATCGCAGAATAACCTCCGAAATAATCCGAGAACCATCCCAAACATACCCCATGCATATTCGAAAACATCCTGACCCATCAAAATACCGCTACAAATCTCCGACGCTGATCGAAGCCCTCCGACATCCTCTGGACAGTTCCTGAAACTATCCGACGCCATCCGAACACCTGCGAAAACCTCGTCGAGGGGGAGGAGCCCGGCCGAGGCGCGAGCGATCGAGTGCTCCTGGAGCAACGAGGAGGCACCCGACGCGGAGGTGGCCGTTGCGGTGCCGCTGCGGATCGCCATCAAATCGCATCCTCAGCGGGCATCGACGACGGTGGCGACGACGACAATGACAGGAGGAGGCGGAGGAGGAGGCAGAGGGGTAGGAGGAGGGGGAGGAGGAGGAGGGGGAGGAGGAGGTGGACGAGGGGGAGAAGGAGGAGGAAGAGGAAGAGGAGGAGAATAAGGAGAAGGAGGAGGACGAAGAGGAAGAGGAAGAGGAAGAGGAGGCGACGAATGATGAGGGGGAGGGAGAGGAAAGGGGAGATGACGAGAGAAGAAGAAGCAAAATCTGCTCGGGGATCACGCTCTACGGTATCACGAAGCAGAGCGCCAGAGTGAACTCGCTGGCAGCCCTGGCCGTTGGGACCCCCTCGAGGAACTCTCGGTCTACAGCAGCTTGATTCGTCTATTACAGCCCCTGTGCACTAGCAGATGGAAGTGCTGGCGAGTGACCTGATTCCACCAGGCTTCCGACGATTGCTGGTGAACACTACCATGTACTCAACACTTTGACCATGCAAGCCTTACAGTTCATGAACAAGCTGCTGGATACAACATCACCGAGAATCGACGTTGCGTCGCTCCGACATGCGTCTCTGCCTCCTGCGCGTGCAACACCGACGCCCATTTCAGTCCCCATGCACCGGCTGCGCGCCCAGCGAACGCCTATCCATGTGTCTGGCAGCCCGACTCTGCCCCCTCGCTCATCAGCCGACTCGAGCAGATCGCTGCGCCTCCTGTCCGCAGGAGATGCTCGTTCACGCGTGTACCCCCGTCCCTGAATGTCGGCCTCCGAGTGCGACTGCCGCGCTGACAACATCCAGCGTCCACCTCGCTTCCCACGGCTCCCTGTGCAAAGACGGTGCCTGGTGCTGCTGATCGCATTTTCCCGCGTGCTGGCCCGCATACGAGTCCGTCTCTGCCTTTCAGGGTTCACCAGTCAGAAGCTACGTCTGCTGTCACAACGCCCCTCCTCATGCTTGACAATTTCGATCTCAGATTTGCAGCGACTGGATGCTAGCTCGCTTCCAAAACTCGTTGCAAGACCAACTACCAGTCCCCGCCCTGTTCGCACGCACTGATTCCAGCACTGTAGCTGAACTCGTTCGGCTCCACCTTGGCTTCAAACAGCTCCCTGAGCAATGACAGCGCCTGCTGCCACCGCCCACCTTTCTCACAGGCGCTGGCTGCGGCACTATAGCTGACCACATCAGGCTTCATCTTTGCTTCCAACAGCTCCCTGAGCAATGACAACGCCTGTTGCCACTGTCCACCCTTCTCGCACGCACTGACTCCTGCATTATAGCTGGTCGCGTCTTGCTCCAGGTCGGCCTCCGAAAGGTCCCTAAGTAACGACAGTGCCTGCCGCCACTGCCCCCCCTTCTCACAGGCACTGATTCCGGCGCTGTAGCTCTTCACGTTTGGACTCAGCTTTGCCCTCAGAAACCCGCCAAGCAGAGACAAGGCCTGCTGCCACTCCCCACAAATCGCACACGCGCTAATTCCAGCAGTGCATGCGATAACGTCCAGCTCCAGTCTCGCTTCCAAGAGATCTGTGAGCAGTGATAACGCCTGCCGCCATCGCCGCCCCTGTTTGCACGCAGTTACTGCAGCACTGTAGCTGAACGTGTTCGGTTCCAGTTTTGTCTCTAGCAGTGCGTCGAAAAGAAGGAGCGCCGCCTGCCACTGCCCACCCTTCTCGCAAGCGGCGATTCCAGCACTGTAGCTGAACACGTTTGGCTCCGAGTTCTCCTCCGACATATCCGTCAGCAGTGACAAAGCCTCCTGCCACCGCCCACTCTTCTCGCACGCACTAATTCCAGCACTGTGGCTGACCGTAGTAGCACCTCTGAATGGCATCTACGCAACGTTTGTAAGTAGACCGTGCCTCGATTGGAGGCGGGGAAGCTGAGCAAGCCAGGAGATGCGCTTAAGGCCAAGGAGCACAGACACACTTGCCGACTCACGGCAAGGTCCATGCTTTCGAAAAACCGATCGTCGGCACTGGAACCACTGAAAGTTCAACCGCTGCGGGAAGCCGTGGGACAGGGATGCTTAGCCCAACATGACCTGAAATCCTGGTTGGGCCACGCCTGGGCTGAGAAGGCCGAAGCGAACTACAGGGATCCATGGAAGCCGTGTGGCAAGAATGAACGAGCACAAGGGTGACCGACGAAAACCATGCTCCCTGGTATTCTGCCGGAGGCGTGAGACTAGCCCTGGTGCGGCCAACGTCAGGGTGCCATCGATCACCGCTCCAGGGTCCTGCTGGAGCCATCCCTGCCTGCAGGTGCTGCCACATCTGAAAAAAACTGGTGCAAAGAAAACGTCGCACCCCGAGGAGCGTTCGGCACCCAAGAGAAGATCATCCTGCTTCTCCCTCTCCTCCTCCGAGTCATCATTCGCAACATCACCACCGTCCTCGTCAAAAGCATCGTCATCATCAACCTCAACATCAGAACATCGTCATCACACTCATCAACGCATCACCGCCCTCATCGCCATCATCGCAATCATAAGAATCACCACCACCAGCATCATGAATATCACGACCGCTGCCGAGCTATTGGAATGCTGGCTAGGGCATGTTGGGATTACTGTGGGCCTCCGTGGGGGTCGCGCGACTCCAAGGGGGCTGCGGAGGCCGATGGGCGGACCCAAGACCGCCCAAGAGAGCCGCACAGAGGGTCCAGAAGGGCTCCAAGAAGACCCCACTGGCCTCCGAGAACACCTGAGTGACGCTCCAAGAGGGCCCTCAGCGGCGGCAATGGAGAACTGTTGCAAGAAAGGTTGTCATCTGGGCCACACAGAAACCCCCATTGTCCTGGTCGAAAGCCTTCCGGATCGGCCCAAGGGGGTGCCCCAGTGCCACCAAGACGGCCCCAAGAAAACCCCAGAGCCATCCCCCCCCCCAAAAAAAAGACTCTAAGAGACGCCAGCGTCCCCAGTAAGCGAAGAACCTCAGGCTTGACGCGTCGCCCCTACGCAGGGCCATCCAGCCTATAAGAGGAGGTGCAAGGGGGAGCATGAAGGTGATAGGGTGGCTGCCCACTGGTCATGTCACCGCATGCTCCTACAATTACCCGACCAAGGCAAGTCGACCGGGGATCTGTTTCAAATGGTTTGCTGGGCTGCTGAAGCTTGTTCCTCGCTGCCGGGGCCTTTGCTGGAAATGCAGCTCGATAGCGTAGCACAGGGAAGTAGTCTACATGCTCACAGCGCTCGAGCCTGGCCTCGCGCGGGACTTGGCACCCACACAATGTTCATCGTATCGGTGAAGGTCAGCTCGCGGACGTCTGCATCTAAACTCGAGCAAACCACGGGGACAGGAAATGCAATGCGTCTCGCCTCCACTGAAAGTGGGTAGCGCCAGCTCGTCCACGCTACAAATGTAGCGACGCTTGCAGCGGTCGGCAGCATATCGTCTCTCATCCTCCCGGATCGCTCGCTTGAAAGCTCCACACTCATCAAATCCTCTAGCCTTTTCTCCGCCCTGCCCGGATCCTCGACCTCAGACTCTGGACAGTGAGCGTTCCTACGGAGGCCACCACAGGTGAAGCAGGGCCCCCCTTCCTGCCGTCCTCTGCTGCCCCTTGTCGGCCGGATGGGAGCGCCGTTGCATCGAGCCTCCTGGCAGCATCGCCGTTGCCGACCTGATGCTCTTCACCTTCGCCCAGCGCTGTCCCCAGAAAGAGCCTCCTCGGCGTCCTTGACGCGCCCCCCTTGGAGATCCTCGATGTCGAGATCGTCGTCGTCTTCTGCGCCCTCCCCAAAGCAGGACTCCTCCCATGGCCGCAGAGCCAAGGAATCGTCGCCGGCCTCATCATTCCTCTGGTCCATTCCTCGTCTATGCCGACGAGCTCCTCACCTCTTTGGAGGTGTCCTCTTGGGAGACGATCCGGACGACGGATGTCCGAGTCGCGTTCCTCGAGGTCGGCGTCGACCAACTGGTCTACAGACGCCTTCCCCATCATCTTGAGGTCTAGACGAGTCCCTTCCTGAGATGAAGACAGCCGCTCGTTCCAGGAGAGGCAAATCCCGTCATCACGTTGTTTAGTGCTGTTGACCCCCGGACCTGCTCCACGACCCATCTGAGTGCGACGATATCCTCATCCTCGACATGTGAGCAGCGTCGGCGCAAGAAAAAAGCTTTCAGGGGTTCGCGCTCAGCTCCCTCTGAAGTATTCCCCTGCGTGATGGCAAAACTTCCTCGTCGAGCTATCGCAGGTATCGTCGTATGGCCACCACCAGCCTTAGTTCCAAGTCCGTCAAGCCTCTGGTGATATCGGCGAACCGCGTGACTCTCGCATGTTCTTACGTCTCACCTCTCCCGCCATATGCATGTGAAGCCTCCTGCAAGGATCCTCAATGGTCGAACCGTCGTCCCTCTCGTGCTGCATGCGAGAATGTGTTTCCTGCTGCTGTCTCTCGAAAGTACCCTGGCTTTCTACGAGATGTACGCACCCCAGGTGCGCTGGACGACTCGGTCCCCTTGAAATTATTGTCGATTGCGCTACCTCGGGGACCAGTCAACGCGAGAGCGCTTGGCCCAGGAGCTGCATCAGGATCTGTTCACCACCCCAACGTTCCAACAGCTTATTGGGGATTCCACGCATACCTTGCGAGCAGCTGCTATCCGAGTTCCTCCTGTCGATTTCCGTTGAGACTGGGCCAAGCTGCGCACCATCGCGCTCGTTCCTTGAACTCCCGAGTCTTCCGCGATCCCCACAACAGGTCAGCATCCGCTTCAACAGACTCTGAAAATTTGGCGTGCCACGAAACAAAAGCAGCCCCAGGGCGGCCGTCTTGCCCGCGGCGCGCAGGCCTTTGAGATCAACTTGCTCAGAAACTCACTTCTGAGAAAACTCGCTGCCTACACAGAGCTACAACGAGGGACCATGCTGCCAGTGCACTTACGCCAGGGGCCCAGAAAACCTGCCGCAAGTCTCGCGCTACGGAGGCCAGCCCCGTGGACCTAGGCGAGAGCTCGACGAGCACCTGCTCGCGAGCCATCAACGGATTTGGAACCGACGCCCCCTCCAGCGGTCACAGCCCTGCATCCTGCGCCTCCTCCGCCTCCTCCTCCTCCTCCTCCTCCTCCTCCTCCCCCTCCTCCTCCTCCTCCTCCTCCTCCTCCTCCTCCTTCTCCTCCTCCTCCTCATGCATCACCTCCTCGACCCTTCCTCCTCCAACGCCTCATTCTCAACAGCATCACCACAACCATACTCATAATCAGCATCATCATCATCAGCAGCAGCATCATCATCAGCAGCATCATCATGATGATCATCATGATAATCATCATCATCACCGTCACCATCATCACCGCGATAATCATCATCAACATCATCATCATTATCGTCACCATGCTCGTCAGCATCATCATCATCATCATCAGCAGCATCATCAGGAGCATCATCAGCATCATCAGCATCATCAACATCGGCGTCGTCATCATCAGCATCATCATCGTCATCACAGCATCATTATCAGCAGTATCATCATCGTTATCGCCATCCTCATCATCATCAGCAGCATCATCGTCGTCAGCATCACCACCACCACTATCATCATCAGCAGCATCATCATCATTACCACCACCATCATCATCTGCATCATCGTCACACTCCTCGTCGTTTCAGCGTCCGTTCTTCTTGTCCCCGTCCTCGGCAGGCATAAACGGTTTGAACACATTGGGCTCCACACTCACCTCACACATACCATGGAGCAGCGACAACGCGTGCTGCCACTGCCTGCCCTTCTCGCAAGCACTGATTGCGGCACTGTAACTGATCACATCAGGCTCCAGGGCCACTTCCCGCAACTCGCTGAGCAACTGAATCGCATGCTGCCACCGAGCGCTTTTCTCACATGCGCTGATCGCAGCATTGTAGCTGATTGTGGTCAACTCAAGCTTTGCTTCAGGCAGCTCGCTGAATAATGACAATGCGATCAGCCAGTGTCTACCCTTCTCGCACGCGCTGATGGCGGAGTTGAAACTGACCACGTTGGGCTTCAACTTCAACTCCAAAAGTGCACTGAGCAACGATAATGCCTGCTGCCACCGACTACTCTTCCCAAGCGAGTTGAGTGCACGGTTACAAGAGATCGTATTGACTCCAGCGCGTGAACGAGATACGTGTTCGAATAAACCAAGTGCTGTGCTGCACTGATCTATGCTGCAACTGCGCTCGGCGTTAGCTGCTCGAGAAGCGGAGCATGAACAAGACTCATGACGTGCCTGCGTGGCTACGCTCTGCATCATACAACGTGGACAATTGTGCGGGTGACTCCCGAGCCACGTGGGGAAGAGAACGCTGTTGCAAGAGCGCGCTCGCGCCTACATCCTAGCGGACCGCGCAACCCGACCCGGTGAATCGTGGCAGCCATCTCGCGCAACTCAGCGGCGCGGGAGAATGGAACATGTCGCGAAAGGGCGGAACACAGCAAGAGAGACATCTCTCGTGGTCTTGCCCACTGCTCTACATCAGCCGTTTCAACGGTTGAAGAAAAGCAGCATGCACCACAGCCACCACCACCACCGCCAACATGATCATATCCAGCCTGTGGGGATGGGAAGAGCAAAGGAAAACAAAGAAACTGCCAGCTACTAGCCGATGGATGTGAGATGCTTGACTGTAGCCAGGTCCTGCATCACCCTCCTTGACAATGACGGAGCCCTTTGGGTACATGCGGGTGGAAATCAGTTTGGACACGTGGTTCACGAAAGTCTTGCTGCATTCGTCGAACAAAGGCACCTCGGCAGCAACATGTGCGCTGTCGGTATGCTCGACGGTCGCAGCATGCTCAGCAATTGCTGGCAGTGCAGACAGGCTTTAGCTCAGGCACCCTGCTGACCTGCACCCTCACTGTTGCAGGAATTGTCGATGCTAAAAGGCGAATGGGCCTCAGTGTATGGGACGCGTGCCTGACGGATCGAGCAGATCCCCAACATTTCTGAACTGGGAACAGAGCCCGATGGCGATGCACTACGCCTTCGAGGTCCTGGGAGAGCAAACGACATACGCTTAGGTGGGGTGTCTCTTCCTACAGGCTGATTTTGGACGAACAATATAAAATAGTCAAACATGGTCAAACATAGTTTGAAGGACAAATCGTCCCCATACTATGTTTGACTCTGTTTGAATATTCCTCCTGTAGAAGGACATGCCCAACGCAAACATACGCACGCACTGGGTTCGACTTCTTCGCACACGGCCCAAGAGAAACCACAGCACGATGGCCTCGCTGCTCGAGCCCTCTTCGAGCCCTCTTCGGCCAGCGGCCAGGGGCCGTCCTCATGCAAAACGTCACAGGCTTTGTTCGGGCATGTCCTCCTACAGGCGGATGTTGAAGGAAAGATGATACTTGTGTAAAACCCCCAAAATAGAATCGAAAAATCGTCCCCAGACTATTTATTACAGTTCTTGAATCGTCCTCCTGTAGAGGGACAGGCCTGACTTAATCACAGGTGCAGCCTCCTGGCGCCCCAGAAACCCTGGGAGGTCCTGAGAGACCTCGGAGGGCGGGCTCGGGGGGGACCTCGGACAACCTCGAGGGAACCACGCCGGACCTCGCGAGGCCTCAGCTCCCCGAGTCGTCGAGACGGTGCCCACGACACTCGGGATTCGCTCGATCTCGCTGCCCCCCGCAGCTGGCCCACCGCGCGTCTTGCTCGAGGCACGCCCGAAGCGAGTGCACAGAGCACGGATACGATGCCCAACAGCAAGCGCTGTCCAAGACAGACCGCGTCCGATGTTGGGCAGGCGTCGCTTGCCTCGAATTGACAGCGCCCGCGGCGACACCGACAGCGAGCGCCCACTTCAAAATGGGCCAGGAGCAGCGGTCGGCCTTCGTCCCCACGCCGTCCACGCCCATGTAGATCCTCCTGGTGCCTCTGCTGAGGCAGGGGCGCGCCAGAGCTGGCACCTCCTGCGCGGGGGTGCCCAGCCTCTCCCGGAACGGCGCCCCCCCCCCCCTCCACCCCTCCGCCAGACTGCTGGTGCCCCACTCCGCGTCTCCTGGAAAGCGCCTGGCGGTGGAGGGCGCCAACCCCGCCGGCGGCCCCCAATCGGCCCCTTCGTCGAGGACAGCCACCGCGCGCCGGAGACGCTCCAGCCAGCACACGGCGCGGTGCGCCCAGGATGCGAGGCGAGGTTGGCTCCCGTCGGGGGGGGTACCCGCCCTATATGATACCAACGAGCGCAGAGAGTACCATCCCTGCTGGATGCGGACCCGCTGCCAGCGTCTGCCGGCGGTGAAGTGCGGGTGAGCTCCCAGGCCTCCAACATCTGGGCTTCGTCGACACGCTGGGCTCCAGAGCTGCTCTCGACCCCAGGTGGTCGTATGGCTCTCGCGCCGTGGGCTGGTCTCTTTGGGCCCACCGGGCCCGCAGCGGGCCTCTGGAGGCGCCAGCTCAGAAACTCCGACCGCTGCGATTGAATCTTCAGGGCGTCGGAGGTCTGCGCTCCTGTGGTAATCATCATACCGGCTTCGTGGCTGACGGGAGGCGAACTCCACGATGCTAGAACTGGCCAGAGATCCGCCACTGTGCCTTAGGTGGAAGGATGTCAAAGGCTGCTGGGTAAGGTTTCGAAAGTTTGAGATAAAGGACACCCTCCCTCAACCGCGCTCCCTGCATACACCGCCCCCCCTTCCCCACACCACGATCCTTCTTAAACTTACCCTGGCGACGTCCCCAACCCCTGCGCAATACGGGGCATGAGTAGCTTGGGAGACGATGTACGGAGGTGATGACGTGACATGGGCGCATATACTTCTACGAGCGGCATTCGTGAAGCTCGCAGCCCCCCAGGGACGGAGAGGTCCCGCTCAGATCTGCGCGGTGCCTCGCAGATCGCAGCCCCCCAGGGAAGGTGAGCTACCGCTCAGATCTGCGCGGTGCCTCACTCCGCTGGACTCACCAGCAGCCCTCAAAAGTGGCGACGGTTTCGCAGATCGCAGCACCCAAGGGACGGCGAGGTCTCGCTCAGACCTGCGGGGTGCCTCACTCCGCTGGACCCATCAGCAGCCCTCGAAAGTGGTGACGGTGTCGCAGATCGCTATGCTGGCCCCCCAAGCAGCCCTCGAAATGGGCGACGGTTCCGCAGATCGCAGCCCCCTAGGGACGGCGAGCTACCGCTCAGACCTGCGCGGTGCCTCACTCCGCTGGACCCACCAGCAGCCCTCGAAAGTGGCGACCGTCTCGCAGATCGCAGCTCGCCTGGAACGGCGAGGTCCCGCTCAGATCTGCGCGGGGCCTCACTCCGCTGGACCCACCAGCAGCCCTCGAAAGTGGCGACGGTTTCGCAGATCGCAGCACCCAAGAGACGGCGAGCTACCGCTCAAATCTGCGCGGTGCCTCACTCCGCTGGACCCACCAGCAGCCCTCGAAAGTGGCGACCGTCTCGCAGATCGCAGCTCGCCTGGAACGGCGAGGTCCCGCTCAGATCTGCGCGGGGCCTCACTCCGCTGGACCCACCAGCAGCCCTCGAAAGTGGCGACGGTTTCGCAGATCGCAGCACCCAAGAGACGGCGAGCTACCGCTCAAATCTGCGCGGTGCCTCACTCCGCTGGACCCACCAGCAGCCCTCGAAAGTGGCGACAATTTCGCAGATCGCAGGCCCCCAGGGACGGCAGGCTACCGCGCAGATCTGCGCGGTGTCTCACTTCGCTGACCCACCAGCAGCCCTCGAAAGTGGCGACCGTTTCGAAGATCGCAGCCCCCCAGGGACGGCGAGCAACCGCTCAGATCTGCGCGGTGCATCACTCCGCTGGACCCACCAGCAGCCCTCGAAAGTGGCGACGGTTTCGCAGATCGCAGCTCCCCAGCGACGGCGAGCAACCGCTCAGATCTGCGCGGTGCCTCGCACCGCTGGGCTCACCAGCAGCCCTCGAGTGGCGACGGTTTCGCAGATCGCAGCCCCCCACGGACAGCGAGGTCTCGCTCAGACCTGCGCGGTGCCTCACTCCGCTGGACCCCACCAGCAGCCCTCGAAAGTGGCGACGGTTTCGCAGATCGCAGCCCCCCAGGGACGGCGAGCTACCGCTCAGATCTGCGCGGTGCCTCACTCCGCTGGACCCACCAGCAGCCCTCGAAAGTGGCGACAATTTCGCAGATCGCAGCCCGCCTGGGACGGCAGGCTACCGCTCAGATCTGCGCGGTGTCTCACTTCGCTGGACCCACCAGCAGCCCTCGAAAGTGGCGACGGTTTCGCAGATCGCAGCCCCCAAGGGACAGCGAGCTACCGCTCAGATCTGCGCGATGCCTCACTCCGCTGGACCCACCAGCAGCCTTCCAAAATGGCGAAACTTTCGCAGATCGCAGCCCCCCAGTGACGGAGAGCAACCGCTCACATCTGCGCGGTGCCTCACTCCGCTGGACCCACCAGCAGCCCTCGATAGTGGCGACGGTTTCGCAGATCGCAGCTCCCCAATGACGGCGAACAACCGCTCAGATCTGCGCGGTGCTTCGCTCCGCTGGAGCCACCTGGCGCCCTCGAAAGCTCGAACGTGGCGACGGTTTCGCAGATCGCAGCCCCCCCAGGGACGGCGAGGTCCCGCTCAGATCTGCGCGGTGTCTCACTTCGCTGACCCACCAGCAGCCCTCGAAAGTGGCGACCGTTTCGAAGATCGCAGCCCCCCAGGGACGGCGAGCAACCGCTCAGATCTGCGCGGTGCCTCACTCCGCTGGACCCACCAGCAGCCCTCGAAAGTGGCGACGGTTTCGCAGATCGCAGCCCCCAGGGACCAGATCTGCGCGATGCCTCACTCCGCTGGACCCACCAGCAGCCCTCGAGAGTGGCGACGGTTTCGCAGATCGCAGCCCGCCTGGAACGGCGAGCTACCGCTCAGATCTGCGCGGTGCCTCACTCCGCTGGACACACCAGCAGCCCTCGAAAGGGGCGACAATTTCGCAGATCGCAGCCCGCCTGGGACGGCAGGCTACCGCTCAGATCTGCGCGGTATCTCACTTCGCTGGACCCACCAGCAGCCCTCGAAAGTGGCGACGGTTTCGCAGATCGCAGCCCCCAAGGGACGGCGAGGTCCCGCTCGGATCTGCGCGGTGCCTCACTCCGCTGGACCCACCAGCAGCCTTCGAAAATGGCGACAATTTCGCAGATCGCAGCCCCCCAGTGACGGAGAGCAACCGCTCACATCTGCACGGTGCCTCACTCCGCTGGACCCACCAGCAGCCCTCGAAAGTGGCGGCGGTTTCGCAGATCGCAGCCCCCAGGGACCAGATCTGCGCGATGCCTCACTCCGCTGGACTCACCAGCAGCCCTCGAGAGTGGCGACGGTTTCGCAGATCGCAGCCCGCCTGGAACGGCGAGCTACCGCTCAGATCTGCGCGGTGCCTCACTCCGCTGGACCCACCAGCAGCCCTCGAAAGGGGCGACAATTTCGCAGATCGCAGCCCCCCAGGAACGGCGAGCTACCGCTCAGACCTGCGCGATGCCTCACTCCGCTGGACCCACCAGCAGCCCTCGAATGTGGCGACGGTTTCGCAGATCGCAGCCCCCCAGGGGCGGCGAGATACCGCTCAGATCTGCGCGGTGCCTTACTCTGCTGGACCCACCAGCCGCCCTCGAAAGTGGCGACGGTTTCCCAGATCGCAGCCCCCAGGGACGGCGAGATACCGCTCAGATCTGCGCGGTGCCTCACTCCGCTGGACCCACCAGCAGACCTTGAAAGTGGCGACAATTTCGCAAATCGCAGCTCCCCACGGACGGCGAGCTACCGCTCAGATCTGCGCGGT